GGCTCTCTACCTCCCTGCAGAGTGGTGGCTGCCTCTGTGGTATGGTTTCAGCTCAGTAAAGGGCCCTGTTATCCCTGATGCCTCACACACTTCCTTATAGATGTTCAAATTTCCCTTAATAAGGACTCAACTTTTTATTTCACAAGTGAGGAATGAGGGTAGACAACAGGCTGGACCTCAGAGACAACAGATTTATACTAAGGTGTAAATGACTGATATAAAGACCCTAGGGGAACAGGTTTTGATGGGGGTGGTGGTGGAGAGAGGGCAGGTAGATACTTTATGACAAGCATATTCCTGTGATGGTGACAGCTTCAGGCATCTTAGAGTTAGCTCCTTCATATTTCAAGTTAGGAATCTAAGCCTCTGACAGTATTATGCACCTGAAAGAAAGGTAGACTGAGTCAGAAGGCAGGGACCAGAATTTGGGGGAAAAAAAAAGCTACACCACCTCTCTGAGCCAGTTTCCTCATTTGTAAAATGGGGATGGGGCCAAATGAGATAATATGAGTGAATGTTCTTTGTCAATTCTTTCAGCACTAGTATATGTCAGAGGCCACTGTCGCCGAGCCCGAAAGAAACAGCATCACCCTGCACCAGCAACCCCATCCACAGCTTCCCCAGGTGGAGGATCCCTGGGTCCCATAACACTGTGATCACAGTGGCCCAGGGGGACTCAGCATGGCTTAATGGCATCGACTCCTTGTTGGGACCTAGGCTGGGTCACTGTCCACTCACACCTCCACTGTCCACAACAGGTCTGGCACATTCTCTCCTGAGAACAGGAGCTCAGGAAATGCTGGCTGAATCACACAGGCTTGGTGGCAGGCCCCCAGCATGGCAGGCAGGCCAGCCTTGCAGAGTGGGGTATGGGTCAGGCCCCACGAAAGAAAGGAGGTACAGGCTTTGGAAGTGGTGTGGGCTGAAACACTTTCTGCAGCAAACCTGTCTCACGACACAAGGTCTGTTCATTCCTAAGGTCATGGAACTGAAACTCCCGTCTCCCAGCTGTTTGGGGAGAGCACAGTACAGCAACATATAAGTGAGAGCCTCTCCCTGACTTCCTGGGGCTCTGCAGCCCAAAGGCTCTTGCAGGCTTATTTCTTCCTCTGATCTCCCAAGGCCTCTGGGAGCTGCCCTGATTGCCCCATCATAGTCTGAGGCTCGGGTGGGAGGGGCATACCTGGAGGCTGACTGAGGCTTTGGAGTCAGACCAGCCCCCTTCCACAGGACCTCCGCTGGCACCAGGAAATCAGTGGTCACTTTGATCTCTTTGGGGAAAGAGAATGTCATACTCTTAACCCAGAGAGCCAACGGTTTTCTTTAAAAACACCATCCATTACAATCCCCCCAGAATAATTTGTTTCTAATTAGAAACATCCCATCATCTCAGTGGTGATTAATGCCTCTGGTCTTGAAACTGAAACATCTCAACTTTTGATCAAAAGTCATGCTATTCTAGAAAGAAATGTGATTTCCTTCTTTCCCATTTTAAGTGACATCTCCTTGCCCCCGGGTTGAATACCCGGCATTTAGCGGGTGGAAACAACGATTTGCACACATCTGGAAATAGCTGATATCCCAGGAGGGCAGGTCATTTTTCAAACATGGTAGAGAGTAATAATGCCCTCAGCAGGAATGGGAATGTGAGATCTGTCCCTTATACAGGACCCTGGTTGGGTTCTAGCCATTTGCTGATGCTGGGGGAGGGGGCCCTGCCTCCCCACAGTTCTGGGTGTTGCTCTCAGGCACCCTCGCCAAGCTACAGGAGGACATGGGTGCCAGCCTTCTCCTGAGGGATGACTGACTGGTCATTCTTGCTTCAGTGAGTGCAGGACAGCACCTGTGGCATGTCCCTGGGAGGCCCCGTCCATCACCTCCCTGGAGAAAGCCTTAGCTTTCTCAGCAGGACCTTCAGGCTAACAGATTGCTTAGAAGCAAAATGTCAAAGCTTCCAGATACACTGGTGCTCTGATAGCCCTTGGACTTCGGCTGACTTTCCTTCTGGGCAACTTGTTTGAAGCCTTCCAAGTCAGGCATGTGGGAAGCTTGGAGGCTGGTTACAGAAGAGGGTTTAAAAGTATACCAACCCCAAGTGAGTAATGAGGGGTACTGTCCACAGGCCATAGACTGAAGATAAGATGTCAATGGAAAAGCAAATCTAGTCTGAACAAGTGAAAATGCCAGGGTAAGAGCCATCCAGTGGAATCCACTTATATTGGCTGGTTACCCAGCCAGTGAGGACGAGGATCCCCATGGGGAACTGTATCCTTTCCACTCTCCAGAGAAGAAATAGGGGAAAGCAAAGGGCAGATTTCTATAACTACTGTACAGATTTCTGTAGCTGGGCAGGCCAGCCACCCCAGTGATGACAGTGACAGGAGGGAGTAGTGGCAAGGCAAACAGAGTGGGGGGGGGGTTCCACGGTTGAGTTCTGGGAGACCCCTGCCCTACCACACTGGCTCCCAGTAAATTCATGCATACACAGACTTCCAGGTCAGTGTCTGTGGACAAGTTTTCAGCTCGGTAGAACGAGTCCGCCCTGGGCCCCGGCCCTGCCCAGACCTGCTGAGTCCCCTAGCCATGCTGAGTACTCTCCCCAAAAGCTCTGTGTACACCAATCAGATGCCATCAGATATCAGCCCTGGATGGCACCTGAGTTCATTACATGCCATTGATCTTGTTTTTACTGCCAGGGATAAGTGATGAAGCTGGCTGTGGTAAAAAGCCAGCACTGTGGCCTCCCAGTGCCTTACTTTCCAGAAAGCTGGGAGGCATTATTCACCATGGCCTGGCTAGTAAAGAGGCAGGCTGGCTGAAGGCTCTACCTCACCTGGTGTGCTTTGCGTGTGGGAGTTTGCTGGATGGCATACCAGCAGCCTTGACAAAGAGGGTCCCCTGAACAATGGAGGAGGGTGACCAGGAGCTATCAAATCTGGGGGAGCACAGTGCTGAGCTTCTCAGGTACTGTTCACATTCATTTCCTGGTGTTCTGCAGCTCCCTGAACCACAAAGTTCATGGTACTTAAGAAAACAAAAGTATCCATCTGGTCTTTAAAACCAGAATGGTTAGGCTGGAGAAACCCAGGTTCTGGAGAGCCAATGACCCCCTCTGTAGAGCATGCTGTGGCTCTGTAGAGCATGCTGTGTACATCATGGGGCCTCCAAAGTCCTTCATATGGACTGAGCTCTGACCTGGGGTTTGAAAGCTTGGACTCCTCCACAGGTGTGTGGGCAAGTCACTTAATCTCTCTGAGCATCTACTGCCTTTTCTAGAAAGCAGGGCTAAGGACCTGGCTATAGGGCACAGATGCAGGGGGTATACCTCAAAGAGGAAACAATGCCAGATGCCCTCACACCTGATAGGTACATGCAGCCCAGGCCCTCTCTGACCATTCCTCACCTCTGCTTCCCGCCCTGGGATATCTGGGACCAGGGAGGTCATCCTTCACTAGCACAGGCTGCATTGGAGATGTGACCACAGGACCCTACTAATTCCCCAAGTATAATGACAGCTGTATTCCAATCCACACCTGGATATTTGGAGTCCAGAAAATTCTATTCTGCCTATTACTATGCTGGGTAGCTCCCCTTCCACGTCTTTTGACAAATCTGACACAGAACACTCCCAAATGTCAGATCTTCTGATCAGGGAGTAAATTAAAAGGAGGTGGTTTTGGTCTTCCCCAAATTCGCAGTTATCCAGAAGCTGTATTTTAGCACAGCCAGCAAACTGGAACCTGAGAAATTTGGCTTTTATGCACTCCAGGAATTTGGAGGAGCTGGTATTCTGACTTGCAGGGAGGTGGCATCTCTGCAAAGACCAGATCGGGATAAGTTTTGCTTTCCAATGGCCAAACCAACTATCTCTCCTTCCATAAAGTACAGATACAGATCAAATTACCGCCTGGGTCAGGCGGGTAAATCAAAACACATAGTGTTTGGAGGAGTGTAGTGGGGGTGGATGACCAGGGCCCCAGGGAGAGGCGTTAGGCCTGCTTGCCATGGTGCCAGACTTCTAGACGGGGGCCTAAATCCTGATTTTCACACGAAACTGCCCTGTTTTTAAATATTAGTAACTAATTCCAAAATGCTTAAGATATCGTGTGGGCTACACAAAAACTAGGGGCTCTCAGGCCACAAGTGTGCAAACCTTGGAGTGAAGAGACATCAAGGGAAAAGCAAGTGGGGAGTTTTCAGTTGCAAAGACCAGAAAAGGAACATGGACACACTCTAGGCTGCTGTTGGAAATTTTCCTTAGAAAACTAGACATTAGCAAATGTCACTAGAAATTCTACAGTTCTTGGGGAAGGGTTTTCTAGAAGGCCTACGGCTGGTGCTCACGTGTGATGAGGGTACTTACCTCGCCCTCCCACCCCCACACTTGGGGAAATACACATCCAAGGTAATAGGTTCACAGGTACCAGGTCAATGAACAAAAGAAGAGCTGGACAGCAAAGAAGTTTTCATATCTGATTTACATTCCAGTAATATTTAACCCTCTCTGCAACCCCTAGGCTGTAGGTCAGGCTCCGGAAGATGGCTCTAGCTTTCTGCCACCCCTAGGGCCCCTACCTGTCTACCCTTGCATTGTCTAGGCCCTCACCCAGGGGTCCTGAAAGTGAAGGGAAGTGCTGTTTGCCCATGAGCCCCCTCAGTGTCTGCCTCAGCCAAGACTTCCCCTCATGTTTACGAGGCTTTTGCAATGGCCCGTGGCCAAGCCCCCCTGCAGGACGCTGAGGCACAGCCAGCACACAGCACAAGACAGCCAACTGGCATCCAGAGCACCCCATTTCGTGCTCTAGGGAGCACTGGGTTTCCTTCCCACTGCGTGTGGCACAGGGTCCCGGGCAGGTGCTGAGCTCAGAGAGAAAGCAAACCTGCCTGGGAACACTGGGACTGCCTCATTGAATTGAGGCGCAGGGTGATGGCTGAGCTTCTGCTTCCAAGGTTCCCTGCGCTGCCGGGCAGGATGGAGATGCTAGGCCTGCGGGACTCACCTTGGACCAGTCCCCAGTTTTCCACTCGTAGCAGCCTGAATAGTCCTCGCACGCCTCCTCTGCTCTGGGCCTCGTGGACGCATCGCATTTTCCTTGCGAGTTGGTGCACGTCACAGTTCGTTTTTGCGTCCCTTTGCCGCAGGTGGCAGAGCACTGCAAGACACCATGCGGAAGTTTAATCCGGTCTGATTCAGCTCATGTTCCTCAACAGCTGTTAAGTTGCGACGATGTGCCAGACCCCGTGCCGGGGACGCAAGGATGAAGATGCTCCTGGGCATCTAGAGTCTGAGCACATGGTCCCAAGCTGAGACTCCAGCCATGTGGCTGGTGATGGGGGAAGAGCACAGGAGTGGGGAGAGCTTGAGGCACCCAGGAGACCAAACAAGGAATTTAGTGGCCCGCTACCAGGTCCACGAGACCCATGCAGTGGATAAATTCAAGGGGTAAATGCTGGTGGTCCCGGTGAAGCCAGGTAAGGACATCAAAGAAAAGATGTCCGAGGCCCCTGGCTCCTCCCAGCTACCTGCACTCTACCTGGGGCAGCCTGGGGCGAAGGCACAGGCTTGGGGTAGGACAGGGAGAGAGGCAAAGCCAAGCTACAGGTGACTTCCATTTAGGGGGCTGGCAAGCTCTTGCAGAGAGCTACAGTGACTGTTTCAAGCGTGGGTGCCAAGAATGTAACAGAGCAATGTATTTTACTCACTTCCCAGGAGACACTGCAAGATAAAGAGTGCTGTGGGGACCCAGATAGGGCCCAAGGATGACAAATCATGTGTGAGCCCTCAGAGTTCATGATTCCCATGCCCTCAGGCAGCAAGAGCCATGGAAGAAAGGAAGAGAGGTGGGGTGGTGGTGTAAACAGGGCAGATCTGCTCCTGGTATGCACTGCCCTTGGGCTCAGGGAGGAACCATGCTGGGCTCCAAGAGTCCTTACCCACCTTGAAATGAAGCAGAAGGAAGTTCTCGCGGTCCAGACCTATGACCTTGGGTGGCCGGGTCTGACAGCGTGCATGATCTGGCCAGCAAAAGGAGGTGACATGGCCTGCAAACCCAAGGAGCTCTCCGTCCTATTTGTCGGGTACGGAAGCCCTGTCCCCCACCATGGAAGCAAACACGCAACTTGCGGAGATGGTGGGTTGAAGGCTGCTTTCTGCCATGAGGTACAGACACAATGAGACCCAGGCTCCCAGCAGCTGGGGCCCAGAGCTAGGGCGGGGACAGCTCAGGAGCCGTGGGAGCAGAAAATGGAGCCCAGCAATTGGAACTTCTGTTTTCATACTTGCTTGATTTACCAAATATATATATATATATATATATATATATATATATATATATATATATATATATTAGATAATACATATTATATGTATACACACACACACACACACACACACACACAGGAGTGATATTCTTAAGCTACCATAAACTTGATTTTTAAAAAGTTCCACTGTGTCCTCTGGAAAAATGCACATAAAAGACAAATGTTATTCTTTATATTCCTATTATTTTTTAAAAAATTTTTATTTATTTATGATAGTCACACACACACACAGAGAGAGAGAGGCAGAGACATAGGCAGAGGGAGAAGCAGGCTCCATGCACCGGGAGCCCGACGTGGGATTCGATCCCGGGTCTCCAGGATCGCGCTCTGGGCCAAAGGCAGGCGCCAAACCACTGCGCAACCCAGGGATCCCCTATATTCCTATTATTAACACTTATCCCAAAATGTTATGTAGCTTTATTTTTCCTGTGAGTTCAGTTCAGCTAGCCTAGGTTTTTTGTCGTTGTTGTTGTTTTTGAGACATAGGCTTGTTTTTAAAGAAATACACATGCTTCAGAACTGGTTGTGGTGTCCCCTGGGGGAGCTGGAGAGCATGCCTATTTGGTCCCAGATGTGAGGGGGGGGCCTGACTTACCAGGACCTCAGACGTAAGGGGTCAGTCCGAGGCAGGTGTTACGATGGGCACCTGGGCACGATGGGTTGTGGCTGGGCACGATGGGCACAATGGGTTGTGGCTGGGAGGGCCAGTGCAGGGAGCCTGGGTTACTGAGTGGGTCATCTCTCTGCTTCTCTGCATGATGCTCCCTGACCATTCATTAGCTCTGCCCTCACCCCTTGACTTGTGGGCTCTTCCCTGGCACTAGTACCCATACTACTGGCTCTTTCTTCACTAGAAGCCTACTTCTCACTTCTGCCAGAGTTCCTGCATTGTCTCATTTGATTCTGCATTCTGTCCCTTTCCCTTGAATTTCAAATGTCTAGCCTATTTCTTGACCAAACCCTGGCTCAGCCCTTCTGAGCAGCAGCCCATTGGCTGGAAGCCTTAAGTCTTGAGACTTAAGTCTTGAGAAATGGGCAGCACTTCAGATGAGGCTTCCTCTGGAGGGACCGAGGACAGGAGACAGTCACTTATCTTTTGCTTCCTTCCTGGTATCTGCTTCTCATTCTAACAAAGCTGGGAAGAAGCTAGGGGGTAGACAACACTGCTGGCTATATAGAGGCAACCCCCTCAACAAAATAAATTTCTCTGCCATGAGAAATTAAAACCCATTTGTTTCCAGAAGAAGAAATATTAGAGGGGCTTTAGCATTGGGGTGCCTGGGTGGCTCAGTTGGTTAAGCGTCTGCCTTTGGCTCAGGGCATGATCCCAGGGTCCTATGTCTGACTCCCTGCTCAGCATGGAGCCTGCTTCTCCCTCTCTGCCTGCCAACCCCCTGCTTGTGTGCTCTTTCCCTCTCTCAAATAAATAAATAAAATCTTAAAGTGGCTTCAGCATGTGGTGAAGCAAGAGAAATACCAGTCTGGTGAGCATCTCGTGAATGAGGGCAAGATCTGATTCTAAGTTGAATGTTCAGAAAGAGGCATGTGGCTTGAGCCTGGACTGAGCCGGAAAGTGACTGGCGCCGACACTATTTCAGCATTAGGATCAGCTACACACAGAGATAGAGACGTGAATAAGTGCTATTTCTTTAACTCTTGCTTCATTCCTCTTACATTTTCCAATCTGGTGTTCTTTAATGCTACAGTGATAGTTGATAATGTCAGGCTTGGTTATTCTGTTTTTTTTTTTTTTTTTTTTTTTTTTTTGTTATTCTGTTAAGGACATTTTTTTTTCCTGTGAGAAAGAGTCTGAATGGAAAATTTATGGCTTTGATCTGATTAAAGTGTAAGTCTTGTTTGGATCAAAAGCCAGGTGATCAAGGACCTCAGGCTCATGGTGGGGGTGGGACAGACCGCATGCCTGTCCCCACTCCTCCAGCAAGTAACCTGTTCCCTCCACAAGAGGTCCCTTGAATATTTAACTTATAAACCTAAGCACATATTTAAAAAAATCAAAAATTTTAAACTCTCTCTTTTCCCTAACATAAACAGCAGGTTAGAGACTCAGGTCTTTAAATGGGTATATGTCAACGTCCATCTGAAAGGTAAACCTCATTTCAGAGCAGTCAAAGGCAGACTTTTCGTTCATTAAGAATGGGCTGAATACTTTCTTATTCAAAATAATTCCAACTGTTTGGCAATAAAAGGGAACTTTAAAAATATTTTCCACACTGAAGAGTGTCTTGGATTTAGCCTTTCTGACTTTCCTAGAACACAGTTGATGGAGGACCTGAGGGAAACTTGCCCTTTATTCAGTTATTTTTTTGTTTTATGGCCAGTCAAAATCATTAATGCAGGGTCAACACAAAGCCTTGAGGGATGATATTACCAAAGATAAAATATTTCCAGAATTAGTCTTCAAAGTTAAAACTTAAGGCTTAACTGACCTCTTTCCAAAATGTTTTACGGCATGAGATGTGTGACTCCAATTACATACTAAAAACTGTCCCTCCCAGTGTCTGCTTGTCTCTTATAATCTACAGAGACTGACACAGAGTTCAGAGAAAGCCTTTGAAACCACCTTCCCAATCTGATCACACTAGAGTTCCGATATACCAAAAGAAAATTAAAAGGTCAGTTGGTTGGTTGGTTTGTCTGTCTACCTACCTATCTAACTACCTATCAACCCTCAACTCATCCACCCAACTACTCAACCACCAATCCATCCAACCATCCAACCAACCATCTTTACATGAGAATTTTCAAAGGAAATGGGATCAAACTGCAGTATATATTACCAAAGCCATAAACGATCAAAGACATATTTTCCATGTTTGTTTAGCCACACTGTGTCATCTCAGATGGAATTTAAGAGTATGTGAGTGAGGATACATCTTTTGGTTATCTGAGGGCTGGCAAGGACTGTGATACTTGGGTTTGAGTCACAAAGACTATAGAAGGAAAGGCACCATGTTGGGATCCCTGTGGACAAGACCCAGGGGCCCTAGTGCTGTGTTCAGTGTTGGCAGCAGCCCAGACACCCACCTGTGACCACTCAGAGGCCTCCCAGATGGACAGGCAGTCCTGGCCTTCGCAGCTCTGCACTGGTGCTGGCCGGGGGCCCGGGCAATAGAGGGGCCGTGTGGTGACATGGGTACCGTTCTGCAGCTGGTATACACATGTCACCTCTCGATGCTGGATGCCCTTCTCGCAGGTTGCTGAGCAGGGGCTCCATGGGCCTGCCACCCACCTGTTCAGGAGGAGGAAAGACAGCAAGAGAATAACTAGGTGGGGAGGCCAGCTTCCCCAAAGGGCCTTCCAGATACATTATGGAATCTTGGGCCTGTAGGGTGAGGGAGGGAAATGTACTCAGAGAGCTTTGCAGTCAACTTTAGGAATAATTCTAACTATTAGAGCAGAGGGGGCCACATGAGTTGAGTGGTTCAATGGCTTATTCAAAACAGAAATCCTACTGCGTACAACACCTCTCTGACAGATTGAATTATTGTTCCCAAGTGGTCACTCTCCTTTTAGCGGGATCACATATCCCACCCACTGTCTACAACATGCTTTGTTCAATGGGGTGTGAGTGGACATGAAGCTGGCCATGTCCCAGCAGAAGCTTTGAGTGTGATTATGTGGTTTGGCTCTGCTTCTCTCCATTTCCTGCCCTCTGACATGAGAATAGCAAGTCCCAACATGGGATGCTCCGACAGCTGAGTTCTGTAATAACAGGACACTGTTGTAAGCCATTGAGATACTGGGGTTGTTTGTCACTGTGACAAAACCTGACTGGTACATCCCTTGACAGAAGATGCTCCAGTGCCAGCATGGACACATCAGGACCAGGTACTCCTGGCTTTCTAAAGAGTGGAGGGCCTTTTTGGGTGGGGACTGTCACTCTTGAGGAGGCAACCTGTGGGCTGTGATGAGACTGATCTGTTGAAAGTGCTCAACCAAAACTTGGCCTACCTCCCTTATACTTCAATGACCCCAGTTCTAGCAGAGTCTCTGCTGACCTCAGGGTGTTAGAAAGAAGCTGAGAAGTTGGAAATCATGATTTCTCAGGACACAAGTGGGGCTTTGAATGCCCTTTTGGGGACACAAAAGGACTCTCTCCTACTCTGGTCCCTGCACGAGCCTTGGGTCCTCCTAGCTCCCAGGAGCTCACCACTTGACAAAAAGGCTCAATCCATGGATGATCGGCTCTGATAGCTGTTCAATTCTTCCTCTTCAGTTGGAACAGTCCTAAGCACCTGAAACCAAATCTGATCATGCCATCCTACTGTTTAGAAGTGTCGGTAGTATCTTCCCACTGGCAGGTTCTTTAGGGGATACTGAATGGTGCCAATTCCCCCTCTTCATCTCCAATTCCAGCTTACTTGCTCATTCATCCATCCCAGCACAGCATACTCACTGAGGGTTTTGCATGTGCCAAGCACTGTTCTAGGTTCCAAAGATAAGGCAGGGAACAAAACAAAGCCCTGCCATCTGAATCTTATAGACAGTAAAACCAAGGAGTGATATACAGTGGAACATAATACAACTGACCATATACAGGGTGTATTATATATGAATAGAGAAGATGCCACATGGTGGTCAAGTGCTTCAGAGAAAAGTAAAGCAGTGTAGGACAGACCAGGGAGGAGGTGATGGGTGAGCGCTTAAGGTGGCAGGGACGGCCTCACTGATAAGCTGACGTGTGAGCAGAGTCTAGAAGGAGCAAGAGAGTAAGTCATGTGGTTCCTTGGGAAAAGACTTCCAGGCAGAGGGCACAGTGGGTGCAAAGGCCCTGGGAAAGAACATGCTGGAAGGGCTGAGGAGCAGCCAGGAGTCCAGTGTGGCTAGGGGAAGGGCGAGGAAGGAGGGGCAGAGGGAGGAACATGAGAGTGGACAGGGTAAGATCCTTCAGGCCCTGGCTGGTCACTGTGATTCTTGTTCGGATAAGATGCATTCCTGAAGGGTCTGGAGAAAGGAGTGATGTGGCCTCCAGACTTGGAGAGGGTCACTCTGGCACTGGGCAGATACCAGTCTACAGGGCAGCAGCAAGAAGACCAGGGAGAAGGCTACTGCACCAGTCCAGCAGGAGAGGAGGGTAGCTTTTACCAGCTAGGGGTGGTGGCAGTGGTTGGGCTAAATGTTAAGAAGATGAGCTACCAGGCCCCTCTCTCCACCCCTATATTATTCCTCCTCATCCCTTAGAGCAAGCTCAGGCCACCTCCTCTTCCAGCCCCCTTGGTAGAGCTCATCACTGTCCTCCACACCCCCAGGGACTAACTCCAGGGAGGCCCCTCTTCCCAGACCCCTTGGCTATGCTGTAGGATGGCAATGACTGTGCCTACCCTGTGGTGTGAGGACAAGGGACATATTGCCTGTAAGTTGCTTCCACCAGTGCCTGACACACTTAAGCCTGTATAATTCTTAGCAATTGTTCTTTAATTCCTCGGTAGGAGATGATGAAGTCCCAGAGGGCAGTGAGCAAATCTTGCCCCCATGTCAGCACCTGACAACTGATCAACACCATAAAAACTAAACTAAATCTTACCCATTTCTCCTCGTTCTGCTCTTTGGAGTAACACGATTGCCTTCTTAAATATATGAAGATAGCTCTTTTGTTCCCCCTTCTAAGCTTTCTCTTCTCTTGATCAAAATAATTTGCATGTGGCAGATTCTGAACCTTTGGTTCTAATTTTCTAATCAGTCACTACTGTTCTCAAAATGGATTGCTTTATTGTGGGCAAAATACCCCAGATGTGGTACGAAAGCAGCAGGAGAGAATGTGATGAGTTTCTCCCTCTTTAAAGGGAAGCTCTGTATTTATTAAAGCCGCTCAGCTCTAAAAAACACTGATTCTATTTTTCAAGCAAGCAGACTGCACCTCTGTTAGCTCCTATGACTTCTCTTTTTTCCTCCTGAACTGACTCTCAGCCAGATCTCCTCTGTCCTGACATTTTGCAGTTGATCTTGTGCATACAAATGTCAGGCTCTAGGTTAGACCTGCTCAGTGCTACCGTGGGGACCTCCAATGTGAGAAGAGTTTTGTATCCCCCTCTTGTCTTTTGTATTTGCTGTGCTTTCTGGGGCCAACCTGGAGCAGGACCCCTATGTCACACTCATGGGAATGTCACCTGCTGTGCGTGTGCATGCTGTTGGCCGGAAGGTGCCAGTATCTCCATCCCGGAGCACGGCCAGAGCATGTGCTCTAAGTGAAAATGCAAGGTGACTTGTGTCTACACAAAGGTCACATCCCGGCAGCTGGGAGGGGGCGGGGATGGGGAAGACCTGGGAGAGGTTCAGCAGTCTTGCCTCAGACATCTCCTATGCCTCCTGTTCCATCACTGACTGGAAATGTCAGAGCCATGGGGATGAGATTCCCGTAGAGCTCTTGCCAACCTTCCCTGTTTTACTTTCCTTTGCCTCTGGGATCTCCTGTGTATTTTAGGTGCTTTGTGAAAGGACGACAGAATGGAACACAGCCCATGCATCCCCTTGTTCCTTTCCAGAATAATCCTTTGACGCCCCCTGCAACATTCCTCCTTGCTGTTGCCCAGAGTCTGGCAGAAGAATGGGTGACATAGCCCTAAGCATGTGCAAACATGCATGAAACTGAACTATGGTCTGCCCTGCTCCCTAAGGGGGCGGGGGGTTTCTCTGTCTCCTGGAGCTGTGTAAAAGGGGTTCCCCCACTCCCCTCCTTGGAGGGCTAGTTACTGTCAGGCATACTGGGAACCTGGTGGGATTCAAAACAAGCCCTGTCTGAGGCCAAGGCAGCCTCCTCAAACCACTGTGGTTCTCATGGATGGTGGGATGGGGTGAGAAGGGGGCACAGATGTACTCCACACCTGCAAGTCACACATGGGGCAGCTCACGGCACATTCCTAGCTCTCTGCCCCATTGCCCTTCCTTCTCCCACTCCTACTTCCCAGCTCTATACAGGGTTCAGGACATACAGATGCAAATATGGCACAACGCCTCAAGAACAGACAACCAGCCAGCCAGCCAGACCATTAGTGTACGAGGCTCACTGGGCGGAGATGAGCACAGGGCTGCGGGAGCATAGGGAGGCATCTCACTCCAAATTGGGGTGAGTCTGCGGGAGATGATATCTGAGCAGATCCTTAAAGCACAAGCAGACATAGCTGGAAATAAACTCAGCTGTTGTATATTGTTTTAGTCAGGGGGCCCTGTGTCATTCTAATACGTGATGGATTTAAGAACAGTGACAGGAGTGTTGAATCACTATCCTGTCACCTGAAACTAATACTACACTGTATGTTAACTGGTTAAATAAAAACTGAAAATACAAAGAGTAATAGGAAAATATTTGGGTGCTCTGGTTCATGGAGCATTATTCCCTATAGCCAAAAGTAAGCCAAGTGGGTCTTGGTGGATAAATGGATAAACAAAATATGGCATGTATGTACAGTGGGATAGTATTGATAGTATTCAGCCTTACAGAGGAAGGACATCTTGTCACAGGCTGCAGCATGGATGAACCTGGAGAACATTATGCTGAGTGAAATAAGCCAGTCACGGAAGGACACGTCCTAAATGATTCAACTCAGGGGAGGTGATGGGAGTAGTTAGATTCATTGAGAGGAAAACAGAATAGTAGCTCCCAGGTTGGAGGGAATGGGAAGTTTGTGTTTAATGGGTGCAGAGCTGCACTTGAGCAAGAGGTAGAGTTCTGGAGACAATCTGTCATAATGGGTGCAAAGCTGTGCCAAATGTGCCTAATGGCACTGAACTGTACACTTAACAATGGCTAAGGTGGTAAATTTTATGTTTATTTTATTACAATTTAATTTTAAAAAGTGATGGTTAGAAATAGGGAGTAACACGTGAGAAAGGGACAAGGAAGTGAAGTGTTTCCCCACTCCAGGTAGGCAATGATGAGACAGCTCTGTGCACACACCTGGTAGCCATGAGGCATCCGTGCAGAGCATCCAGATGTGCTTGCTGCAGGTGATCAGAGCTACTTTTCAGCTAGATTAATTTTTTTCCTCCCAATCTTGACAAATGGACAAATACCTCAGTGAGGTGTAGGGAGAAAAACAATAACTTTCTGGATACTTTGGTTTTGGTGGCTAAAAGAAATCATTTCACCAGAACGAGTGGGGCTGCAGGAAGCCCGGGTTGCAAGGATGGGCAGTGGGACAACACCATGCAAGTAAACATCAGAGGAATATCCTATTAATTCCAAGTCCAGGAATTTGAGAAAGGAACTGCTATTCCATAAAACAATTCATA